GTGTGGATTCCCAGCCAAAGGGCTCAAGGCAGGGCTAGGCACTGAATGGAGAAGAGGGGCTGCGGTGGGGACTCCAGCTTTCTGCAGGGTGGCCCTGTGCTCACGATGACACCATCTTTCCTGGCATTTGCGGATGCTGTTTGGCACCCAGAGCTTGTGGGCCAAGTGAGTGGAGGCAGGACAAGGACTGGATTCCTGGGCTGGGGGTGGGGGCAGTGGTGCCTACTGAGGCCTTGCCCTAGGAGGAGCCGCACCTTGCATGGTTCTGAGCCCTGGGGAGGCCCGCTGCCCCTCGGCAGTTCTTAACAGAGGTGCACAATCCCTCACCCCTGTAGATAAATGCAGAATCGATGTCTCTTAAGTGGAATCAATTTCTTCCTGGAGGAGGAGTCTCTGAGGGAGAAGCAGGCCCCTGCCGAACCCTGCCGCCTTCCTGAGGAGAGTGTGGGGTGGGCAGGAGCTCCTTTGGCTTTGGGCGGGCTGGGGAGGGCACTCCGGGCTGCAGCTGGGGCTCAGGCCCGTGCGGGGTGAGCCCAGCTCTGCTGTGGTGGCCTTGCTCCTCGTGTTACCTCTGCTTCTGCCCTGGGCAGAGGGATGATGGAGCCAGGCTGCTGGGCCAGGCAAGACCCAAGTGCACCGGGGGTGTTAGCCTGGGCCGGTCCCTCTTCCTGGGGTCAGCTCTGCCCCCTGTGGGTGAGTCAGAGCCCAGTCAGGGTCAGGATGCCCTCTAGAGGGGGCCAGCTGGAGTGGCTTCCGTCTTGCAGGGAGGTAGGGCCTGTTCCTGGGCTCCTGCCTCAGCTTGCGTTTGCTGGTCCAGCCCCGTTCCCGCCCAAGGAGCAGGGCTTGCTTCACAGCACACCGCCTGTGCCGTGCCGCCTCCATCAAGATCAGAACGCTTGCACAGCCTTCTCGGGGGCGGGGGCGGGGGAATGGGCACTTATTGAGCACCAACTGAATGCCTATGTGGACTACTGTTCTCCTGCTGGGACTTGGGTGCCACTGGTTAGCACGAGCAGCTCTGTCCTGTTCTGAGGCTGGGGAGAGAGCCATGCTGGGAGGGAGGGCAGCCTTGCCCATGAGGGGCGCAGCATGGTGGCTCTGTGACCTGTGGCACACATAGGCACACACACAAGCACACCTCCACACCTCCAGCACTGGAAGGCAGCGCAAGCGAGTCTGCAGGGACCTCCCTCACCCGCCTGCCCTGGCTCTGACCAGAGCCGCTGTGCTGACCCCAAAGGACAAAGCAAACCTCATGGGCCCACCAGCCAGGTGTCTCCCTCAGCTCCTCAGAGGTGTCCCCCATACTGGAGTTGGGGGCGAGGTGGCCCTGCAGGTAGGGGTGACTTCTGGAGCAGCTCCCTGGTAACTGTGGCATTTCTGACTCCAGGTCTTGAAACTACAGTGTCCTGCAGGGTCCCTTGAGGGAGGGGACACAAAGGCTGGGCACACAGTGTGGCCCTGCAAAGTGTAGCTGGTACCCAGAGCCTCACAGCTGCACGGGGTCACCTTCACAGATGGTCCTGTGGGCTGAGGCTCCCGGCCGCACACCTGCCTGCAGGGTTGTGTGAGGTGTGTAGTGGTGTGGACGAGCGTGCTGTGGCCACTGTTGACACCAAGGTTTGGGGCTGATCTGCCACCTCCTCACTCCCTTTCAGCACCTCTCCTCAGGATAGTGTGTTGCGCACAGAAAACTCGCGGCCAGGCATCAGGCTGTGTCCCGTGCTGCTCCTGGCTACCCGGGTTAGGAGCTATCAGGGAGAAGAAGCCGGTGTGGCCGGGCAGGAAGCCGCATGGTCCCAGAGCCTTGGGGCCACAGGTTGGGGCCTCCTGCTGCGTGCAGTGACCTGAGCACCTCGTGCCCAGGGGCGTGGCTGGCCACAGGTGGAGGACTGCTGGCCAGGCCTGGGGTGGAGTCTCAGGAGAGCCGGCCTCTGCGTGTGTCTTGCTGAAAAGGTGGGTCATGGGGCCTGGGGACAGTGACAGAAGGCGAAGGTCAAGAGCCCTGGCTGGGCCCACAAGGGTCCTGGCCCTGCTGTGGCTGTCCACACGGAGCCTCGGTTCACTCAGCAGTCATGTATGGATGTGGGAGGGGGGACAGCAACTCAGGGCAGGGGATGAAGAAGTAGCAGCCTGGGCTGGCACAGAGGGGCGCTGGCGACCCTCGCCCATGAGCATGTCTCTCATTTCAAAGTGAGGACAGATCCTGGCACTGCTACCCCTGGGCGGGGAGGACTGGACGTGAGTTGGGATGCTGGTGACAGCAAGAAGCGACCCTGTGGCCTCCCTCGGGCAGGGTCGTGTTTCCTGCCTGTCTCCCCCGCCCCAGTGGCTCTGGGCCATCTGGGCAGGACTCCTAGGGTTGGTGTGGCCTTAGGCCTTGCTGGGCGGAGGTGGGAGGGGACCCTTGACTAGGCCGCTCCGTGGGACCACCCACATTCTTGGGTGCTCGCCCACCCAGATCAAAGCTCCTGGGGGAGAGGTCATCTCCAGGGCTGTAGGCCCAGCAGCCCCGCAGGGTGCTGCCCCTTGCTATTCTGTGAGCCTGCCGCAGCCGCTCTTGGAGACGGTGGCAAGCAGCCGAGCGGGCTTCAGCCTCAGGACGCAGTCCCAGCGCTGCGCCTGCTGCGAGGGTGGCTTTGGCAAAGCACCCAGCACTCTGCTCATTCCTTCATCTGCTAAATGGGAAGCAGAAGAGGAACTTTCTCAGGGGTGCCTGGGCACGGGAAGGGGTGCAGTGAGTGAACCCCATAGTCAGTACCAGCACAGCAGCTTGGGCCTTGGGTCCCCGAGAGCAGAAGACTGAGGGTCCAGAGGGATGTTTGCAGAGCCAGGGGCGATACCTGGGCAGTCCGGCCCATGCAGAGGGAGGGACAGGGCAGGGCTGCCACTGTCCAACTCTAATCCCTTTGCTTGTCTTCCTCTCACAGACACGGGCAGGGGTGACTCCATGTCCCCAAGCCTGGGGACCCTAACTCTCATTCAGCTTACAGTGGTAGGTTGGTTCCACTGGGGAGATTCTGACCCCTGCCACATGGGGAGGGGACAGCATGTGCTCCTGGGTGAGGGAGGTGATAGTGATGTGCCACTTTGTGGCTGGGGTGGAGGCAACCTGTCTGGTTTCCGTGTGTTCCTTTTCTTAAGGGGAAAGCACCTGGCTACTTTCTGTAGGGGTCTTAGCACTGTGGACATGGAATAAGACATGGTCTATACCTGGCAAGAATGATCCCTGGGGGTGGCATGGGAGGTGGCTGGGGTGAGGGGAGTGTGATGGGTGGAGGCTGAAAGCAGGGGACTGAGGGGAGGGATCCCAGAGCCAGGAAAGAGGATTCCAGCCTGTGCTGAGGCCAGGCTGTGGGATTTCCAGTGAGGGGGTGGGCACAGCTGGAAGAAGTCACCCCAGACGCCTTGCTTGGTCACTGTCCCTGGCTGCAGTGCTGGCCCACATAGCAGGAGTTCCCAGCTGAGCTCAGGCTCCCTGCCCACCCCCAGGCCAGCCTCCAGATACAGCAGGCCGGGAGAGTGCCAGGGAGGGGGCGCGCCCGTCCGTGTCCCCGGAGGCCTTGGAGCGGATCCTGGACCCTGGCTGATGGAGCGATGATTTCATCCTGGATGGTGCTGGATAAAACCAACTTTGAGGTTCCTTCCAGCTGTCACGCTCTGGCTCCACAAAGGCCTCTCTGGGGAGAGTGAGACCATATAAAATATAAATCAATAGGTTAAAAATACCCTTGTCTCCTGCCCATCCAGGGCCTGTCACTCTGCCTGCCTCCTCCATCTTCAGAGGCTGTGGTTTTGACTTCTGCAGGCTGGGAGCTGGGGGAGAAATCGCTTTGTTCTCAGGCAGGGCAGCAGCACGTTGCCTCGACTGACAGCGCCTTGGTGGTTTTTTCTTACATCCCCGCTTCTCAGCTGCACACTGTCCCGTCTTGGCCAGAATCCTCTGTCCCTGTCTTCCTTGCTATAATTGCCGGGGAAAGGGTGACTGCTGGGCAGACAGGCTTTTGGGGACACCCCAAGTCTGGGCACCAAGCAACCTCTCCTTTTTTTGGAGTGACCAGAGGGATGGAGTTGGCCAGTGTGTGACCCCAAATTAACCAGGCTAACGGCCACTCTGGGAGCCCAAGACGGCATCCTGTTTTCCTCCCCGGGTTCCCATGGCAACAGGACTGTTAGGAGCCACTAACTCAGAGTGGCAGCAGGCGAAATGAAATTTGATGTACCCGAGAATTCAGCGGCTAGTGAAGTAATTGGGGATCAATCTCTTTTCCCACTGGGGCTGCCGAATCCTCATTGCCTGAATTTATTTATTTATTTGTGTTCACACATTGCTTTTGAGGAATGTCGGAATGCTCCAAAACACATTTATTTTCATTTTCTAAACAGTTGCATTTCTGCCCCGCTTTGGTACGCAGGGCCCTGCCTGCACACGGAATAGTTGAACAACAAAGTAAAGGTGTGCGTGCGCCATGGATGATTTATGGAGCCCCTTGGGTTGTCCCTGCTGCCTCGCCTGCCTCCCCCCCTGCCTTTGGTTGTGCTGTCAGCTCCCCTGGGAAAGGGGGGTGGGCAGCACAGGGGCAGCACGGGACGTGGGACCCACTCCTGGCTGGCTGGCAGCTTCGGCAGCCGCTTCCACTTCCAGCTGGTGTGGGGCTCGCAGGCAGAGACGGCCCCTCACAGTGTGTGTGGTGCTCGTGCTGGGCCTGTCGTCTCCCTGCCCCTGTGGGCGCAGTGTGAGATTGTCCGGGCTGTGTTTGGATGGTTCCCACTGAGTGGCAACTGTGGGGACGCTCTCCCAGGATTTTGCTGTCATTCCCAAGAGCAGACTCAAGCTTTCTGAGCCAAAATGTATTTTGCATCTACGTGTGCTGGTACGAGGGCCCTGGGACAGCTGCTATTGAGAGACCCCGAGTGAAGGGCAAGGGCTTGGTCTGTGTGCCCACTGTGGGAGCTTTGGGACTCACTGATGGCCTCCTTTTCCTTTCTGTCAACCACAGGTGATCCTCATCCTGACGAAGTACTACCACGCAGACATGGGGAAGGTTCTGGAAAGTTCCCTGTGGCGGTAAGTCGGCCCAGCAAGTCCCTGCCCCTGTGCCTGTGCGTGCTCCTGGGCATCCTGGCTGGGGACAAAGCTCTAAAGGCCTGGCTGTCCTAGCTCCCGTGTTTTAGTGGCCTTGCAACTTTCCTTCGTCTGGAAAAAGCGTGGAGAAGTTGAAAGCAGATGAGGGGTTTGGTAAGCAGGCACCAATGTCCTGGGCAGGCAGACCAGGTTCCTAGGCTCCTTGGCTGCTCTTCCTGTCTTTCTGTTCTTTCCCTTTCCTGTAGTTACCTCCTGCAGGAGAAGGGTTCAGATCCTGAATTCAGGTCAGTGCCCAATGTCCTTATCAGCTCGGGGCTCTGAGCAGGGCTCCTGTAGCCCTGGGGCTGCTCCTGCTGGCCTCATTGTTGAGATGTTTCTTTCTCCCTGGCTTTGAGTTGGAGAGGTCCTTGGTAAATAATAGCCCAGCGGCTGCAGGGCTGTGTCTTTATGCGCACTGTGAATCGGGCCCAAGAGCACTACGAGCCCTTTGATGTTTCCTGGAAGGAGAAGGCGGCTCTGCGAGGCCACTTCTACATCACCACCTCCAGGCCTCTGATTGTGCTTGTGTGGAGGGTGTGTGGGCTCCGACTGCCCTCTCACAGGGCCCTGCTTCTGCCTGTACCTGGGCGGGGCCGTCTGGGCCTCCAGCACACGTTTCTCTAGTAGGATTCATTCTTTGTTAATGTTTTCCTATTTGGGGAGCACCTGTCCACTAGGGTGTCTGATCTGTGGGGTGCAGCCTGGGTAGGTCGCTCTTGCTGTCGGCTTTGCTTCAGCAAAGAGGTCTGAGGTCCACTCTGTGGGTCACTTGCGGGCTGTCATTGGGCTGCTTCAGGAAGTGGTGCCTGGAGGAGGACCTTTGCTGTGTAAGGAGCAGTGACTTCCTGAGCCAGGTGCCTGGTCACCTACTGTGTCAGTGAGGCCACTCTTGCTTCCTGGGTCCCCCTTCCCACACCGTGACGCCGCCTGCCCCCTCACCAGCTGTCCCTCCAATTCCACCACTGTCACTAGGCACAGGGGCTGGCCTGGGCCGCATTCCTGCGTGCTCTGTGTGCCCCACTCCTTAGCTGCGTGGGGCAGAGACTGGTGTTTGCCATTGCGGGCAGTTACCTGCTCCTCTTGGGAGACTTATGTTTGAGGATTGGATTCAGGGTCACAGCTCCTTGGACAGGCAGCGGGGGGGGGGGCATCCCCTCACTGCTGAGTAGGTGGCTGGTTGGCAGAGGGGTGGGTCCCCTTGGCTGTGAGTGGACACGGGCAGTTAGGTCTCACCCTCCCAGGGAGAGCCCTCAGCTACCTCGCAGCCGGACTTGCTGCTGTGGGTCAGGACTGAAGGAGCTTCTGGAATGCCAGGGCTCCCCACTATGCAGTACCTTCTGGGGTGGCACAGAGGAAATGAGGCCACTGAGCGTTGCTTGGGCAGGGAAGGCCCCTGTGGGCATGTTCTGTGTCTGCTCTGACAGGCTCGAAGGGCAGCGAGCACATTTGCTGTGGATTCTCGTCAGGCGGGTGGTGAGCTGGCCAGCCCTGTAGCCTGGGCTCACTGCAGGCAGATGGGAGGCCCAGGGAGTTGGGGGCTCCTCTTCCCAGAGCTTCAGGCTCCTAATCTGTGAAACAGGGATGAAACAATCCGAGCAGAGGCTGCACCGACAGAGGGAGTGGGGCAGAGCACCAGACAGCCCGAGCCTGGTGCATGGTCTAAATTTAGTTTCCCCCCAAAGCAAATCAGCAGCGTTAGCTTTCCACCTCCCTTCCCTCATCACCATCCCTATACCCAGACACTTCCTGCCTTTATTAAAAATGCACGAAACGCATTAGTCATTTGAAGAAACTTCTTCCATGGCCCTTCCCTCTGCGCAATCACTTTCTTTGTTTGTGTTCTCGCTTTTATGCTGACGTTCCTCCAGCGCCGTGGACAGAATAAAGTTTTGTGCCCTTCTTTCCCACTTGGAAACCACATTTCCACGCTTCCCGGCTGTCACGTGGCCTGGGTCATCACTTCTTTTATGGCTGCACGAGAGCCGATTCCCCTCACGCTCAGCCATCCCTGTTGATGCTGCCATAAAAACTGCCCACGAAACTTTCCTTTCTGTTTTGTGGCCTGGGATAGCAGAGCCCTGAGTCCTGGAGCCTGGGGTGGGGGCTGCTGCTGCTGCTGGCGCCCTGCCTGCTCCTGCCTGCCCCCGGGTCCCAGCCCTGTCTCAGAACTGTCACAACTTGCCGAGGTACTGCTCCTCCGACCCAGCGAGGATGCTTTCTCTTTCAGCGCATGTCAGTGTGCTTGCTGTCCAGCTACTCTGGTACTCAGATAAGGGGCGCTGAGGGGCCCAAAGCCTGCTGTCGGCACTGCCCAGGTGCCCCTGCCCAGCCTGTGTTTGAGGCCCACAGGGATGGGAGGTTTGTGGTGCCTGGATCTGGGACCGTGTATTAAGTGGGGCTGTGAAGGAGGCGCCGAGTGAGCTGGGCCGCCCAGGCCTTCTCCCCTGTAATCACTGTAAATGCATGTTTAGGACAAATACAGTATTTACGCTCTGGAAACAGCTCTCCAAATGCTGAGCAGAAGTGCGCTTTGACGGCCCCACCCTCTGTGTTCCGCACTCAGCCTCCTTCACATGTGTTCTGCCCTTCCTTCTTGTACGGAGCCCCTCTGCTCAGACTTGGGGCCCCTTTGAATCAGGGCAAGATGTGGGGTGCAGGAGTTGGAGGGGACTGAGATGTCCTCTAAACCCAGGTTGACACCAGGAATCTAAGTCTCCCCTCTTCCTCTTGGGGTCCATAGCAGAGACCCTACTAAGACTGGGGCTGGTAGGACCCCCTATACTTAACCTCGTGGCATCTGTGTACAGCAGCTGGTGCAGTGGCCACTGGGATAACTGACTGCACGCTGGAGCTAGCAGCCCGGATGCATCCTCTCACTGTCCTGGAGGTCTGGAGTTCAGACCAAGGCGTCCCAGACAGCACCTGCCCTGCAGCTCCAGGGAGGAGGCCTCCTGTCCCTGCAGCTCCTGGGGCCTCCTCGTGGCCACGGCACTCCGTCCCTGCACTGCCTTCATGGGGCCTTCTCCGTGTGTGTGTGTGTGTGTGTGTGTGTGTGTGTGTCCTTTGAGGGTCTCCTGACAATGCTGGCCACTGGACTTGGGGCTGAGGATGACGCCCTATTGAGATCCATAACTCAATCGTGCCTGCAAAGATGTCCTTTCCAAATAAAGTCATGGGCTCTGGTGGTCTTGGTGGGGACATCGCTTTTTGAGAGCCACTGTTTATCTGACTGTACAGTCTGTCCTGAAACTGCTGAGACCCTCAGAACTGGATGTCCTCAGTGGCCCCTGCGCCTGCTGCACCTGTCCCCATCTCTCTGACCGCAGCCACACCTTCTTCTGCCGCTTTGCCTGCAGCTGGCTCCCAGCTTGTCCCCAGCTCACCACCCTGCTGCCTCCTGCCTCCCCCAGCTCTAGGGGCACAGCAGATGTCCAGCTTCTTGGGCTGGCCCTGCCCAAGTCTTCTGTGCCTCTGGACATTTTTGTGGCTATTGTCCCCCAACCATCTTAGCTATTGTTTCCCTAGTGTCCCCCCACCCTGCAGTGTCTCTGTGACCATGCTCCGTGCAGGTCAGTGCTTGCTGTCCTTGGGAGTGCCACTGCTTTGAGACTCTGGGAATGTGGTACTTGATTGGATTTTGCCTTGAAAATGCTGTCCCTGTGCCCATTTACTTGGTGCTTGGCCTGTGCCCTAGAACTTGTGTCAGGTCCTCGTGGGCCGAGAGCCTTCCCCGCCAGGATAATTTGTTTGGTTCTCATCATTTTTGGTGCTTGAAGGGCCTCCAGGAACCAATTACTTGGTCCCACTGTGCATGTTTCACAACCTTCTGGAACCAGTGCCTACCCCTTGGGGGCACTGTTGTCTCCTGCTGAAAGTGCCTAGCAGGGGAGGAGGTCTCCAGGCGCCCTGTGCAGGGCTCCCAGGGGTCTGCTAGGTACACATTCTGATCCCCGGGTCTGCAGCAGGGCCTGAGACTGCATTTTAACAAGCTCTGGGAGATGCTGCTGCTGCTGGAAGCTCAGCAAGGCTAGGCAGCTGCTGGCTGAACCAGACCAGGCTGAGCTCCGTGTACTAGGCCCTGTGGATGCTGTGGCTGCTGGCCACAGAGAGCTGGCGTGGCCTTTGTGCTGCTTTCTTGCCCACTTTCAGCCTCAGCATAAACCTCTTGTCCTCGGAGAAGCCGCCCCGCCACTCGGTGTAAAGAAGCCCCCCGCACCCTCTTTCCCACGTCTCACTGGAACACGGCTGTTCTTGTCTGTGGTAACCACCCCTCAACCCTCCACCCCTGAACAGCAGCCAGTTGAGAATGGAAGCCTAATGGGTTCATCCTGTTTGTCACTGGATGCCCAGGACCACACAAAGAGCTGGCAGAAGGCATGCATGTTGGGCGTTGGATGGATGGATGGATGGATGGGTGGGTGGGTGGGTGGATAGGCAGATGGGTGGCTAGGTGGGTGGGTGGATGGAAAGATGCAAGAGGTTGTGATGCAGGCTTTTGGGCTGCCTGAGACCTCGCTCTGAGCATGGCTGTTGGGCAGACAGGCTTGAAATAGAGGGCACTGTCCAACCGCCCACTTGTCTCCAGATCTATGCTGTCCCTGGACCAGGACAGCACTAAAGCTGTGCCGACCCCACCTTACCATGGGTGCATGTGACCTGAGGCAGGACCTTCGGCCAGGGGCACGGGGCATTGGGGTGGGAGGGTCTCCGCCTCCTCTGGGTGACTTGGAAATCCTATGCCTTTGTTAGGGGCAGGGGTGCCTCTTTCTTCCAGCCTTACTGTAACTGTGGAAGCGTGACATGTACAGAAGAGAACAGACGGCAGAGTAGCAGGTGCAGCTCCGTGTGCACTGGTGTTGCCTTCCTTCCCGCCTCCTCGTCGTTAGTCTGGGCTCATAGGATGAATCTGGACTGTGGACAGTAGGAAGGAACCACTGAAATCT